GAAAATAATTTTATTGGAAATTAAAATAATTATACAGGAATGTGTCAAGCATAATGAACAACACTGCAAAAAGTTTTGACAGTCTAACACTCAGTTCGAACGTCCTACATAATTATTTTGATAGCTCAACAAAATTATGTTTTTAGATCTGTACCTATAACTATATATTTTCAGATATTTTAACAAAACTATTCTTTCCGTGAACAGATCACATTAACGTCATTTTAAATCAAATCATGACTTATTATCATTTCAACGTTAAAATGAATCGAAAAGTAATTTTTAATAATCATTTTAAAGTCATTTTTATGTCATGATGACTTTATGTTCCTCTTGGGCTCTTCAAGAATCGCGCATTCTTCAATCACTTTTGCAATCGAGAGGAAATCGAAGGAACTTACGAAGAAAGATGACAACTTAAACATGTGTAAACAATTTTTTTGCGTAACACGAAAAAGTTTTAACAGTTTGTCCGGCAGGTGTTGCTTCAAATAGAAAAATAAACGTTGGTCCTATTTCAAGTAGTTACGCAAGAAAAGATGAAGGAAGCTGTACTGTTTGATTTCTTCATCGAATTGGAGTTTTTTTTTTCATTTTAACACGTTCGTTACGAAACAAGTTATATAGACGCTTTTCAAGTATTCTTAAGATAATATAATGCAGGACGGCATCATTATGAAAAGCATCATTACCGAGTGGCATCAACAGGTATGGATGTTCTCAGAAACTAATCAGAAATGTTTTAAATAGGAAAAATTGACTATAATAAAAATTAAATAAAATAATTAGTTTCTTTTGAAATTCATTAACAAATACATATATATAATATATGTTTATAGTAGAGATTTAATTTTTATGCGATAAAACATATCACACTCTTATAGAAATTTAATGCTGATCAATTTATTAATAAGACAAAAATTAATTACTTATTTGAAGCACTGTTACTTAGTATTAAAAAGACAACAGTGTTTTAATACTTAAAATATCTAAAAGTAATTCATTATCTAGTATAAGATAGGCTTCCACTACAATACCTTACTGATGAGTCCAGTAATGGAAGCTGGGACGAAACGCCATAATCACGTGATATTCTTCACAATATATTAGATTAATTTAAAAAGATTTTAACGAAATTATTGGCTCATTGCCCTTGTCTCTTTATATTAATTGTTAATTCATTATCGTTTTTTCAGTTTTGCACCGAAAAACTATCGTAATTTCACCAAAGTATTAAAAAATTTAGCTACATATAGAACTGAGAATAATTTTATTAGATTATCAAAATATAATTTGTAAAATGCTTAAGCGTTGATAACAATATTGTAAAAAGTTTTAACATTTTTGAACCTATGTTTAAGTGTTTTACAATGATTTTGATGGTTTAAACAAAATTATGTCCAGATCTACATATGTACATCTAATTAAATTTTTAGACACTTTATCAACATTTTTTTTGTATGTAACAAATAAAAGGTTTTTATTCTCGATAATATGATGTAATTATTAACTGTATTTGAAACAGTCGTCGTTAAAAAGCGTCAGCACTTTAAACGAAAGAAAGTCCGAGCATGTAGTTTTTTGACAAGCCGTAAACAGCTATATATTGATTGGACTTTATCTCCCTTTTTCGTTCGACTCTGATTCTGCTTAACAGCATCACCGCTTGTATCCTACAAGAAAGAATGAAATAAATAATCCTACACTCATAAACGGAGATATATTACAAGTTAACCAAATAGATGAAAGAAAATCTGACGTACTCCGTAAATGCGTCCCTGAGGGAGACGTGAAAGAGGAATCTCGCAATGTTTCATGATGCGGTCATTTCGAAGCACGTCGACTGCGACATATCGGCGAACGATGTGGCACGTTGCGTTCTCGATCAATGTAAAATTTCGTCGGCGCGTTGCGGCAAGACAGTGTTACGGATGCGAGTGAGCGTGCGAGAAAGAAAAAGAGAGAGAGAGAGAGAGAGAGATAGACAAGTTCGCTCGCTCATTCGACCTCCGAAGGCTCGCCTGTCGTCCTGCAGGCTAAGCGCGCACGAGAGGCTTTCTCCCGTGCGTGGTGCGGAATGCGGCCTCTCCCTCGGTCGGCCTCGAGGAGAAGTCACGGAGGCACGTCGTCCTTCCTATCCACCGCCGTTGCCCCGCTAGCGCGTTCCGCCAATCGATCGGCGCTCGTCCCGTCCCGTCCCGTCCCGTCTCGCTCGCTCGCTCGTCGGGATCGTAACGACCGCGCGCGTATTACGTGTCATCGATCAATCGCGAATACCGCGCACAGGTAGTACGGGCCACGGCGGCGCGGCGCGGCTCCGATACGTGGTATGCCGCATCCATCACACGGAGTAACGAGCAGCATTGCGGTGAATGGACTGCGGGGATTATAACAGCGGTTCTGTATTTTTGCACGCGTGATCTCATGGATCGTAAGCGCGCAACAATGATACACCGAGATCTTTTTTCCTTATCGAAGAGAACGTCGTCTTCGCGTTAGAGAGTGTTACCGTCGCGTTCTCCACGTACTCACTTCGAGAATGTACCCTGAGAGGAAAAAAAATTGATTGAATTACCACAATTTAATTATAATACCCGTATAATCATTTTGGGATAACTGTATATTTATTTTATGTTCGAAAATCTTTAGTTTTTTTTTATAAACACATTTTTTAACTCATTGTTACCACATATATAAATAATAAGTGTTTCCAAGAAAATAGTTACATTTATAATGATTATGATCGCATTTACTAAATAATGTTAATTTTATTTACCACTTATATTTTGATATTTGAAATTATTATATTATATTATAATTTATAGTAAAATATTTTGAGAGAACATTTAAGAGAACTATACATATATGTACACGCGATTGTTATTATTGATATTACATTAATAAAAATGGAATTCTTAACCATAATTATTTTATCATATGATTATAGTACTAAACACTTTTCTCAGTTTATAAGATTATATACACGTGTATTTCTTAGTAAGACACGCTGCCAACTAATCACTTAAAAGGATCTTAAAGTAAAACCTCAATTCTTGGAGAATTGCCCGGATGAAATCACTGTTTTACCGATAAAGTGTGATAGATCAACATAAAAAAATAATTGTTAAACAAAAATTATTGCGTTCAATCGGTGAAACCGACTTCCGAATTCCGATCAGAATTAATTCAACAATTTCATATTTTATTTAACAGTTCTATAATAGGTGACCTGTAATCCTTAATTTACTATAATTCCCTTCCCTATAAACCGTTATTGCTTGTTTTTATCTATTTTAATCTTTTCTTATTTCTGTCCATATATAATGTGTAAAGATTTATAGCTTAAGGAGCAAGTCTATGTCATGATTAAATATGGGAATTAAATATCTGTAACAGAGATTGAGTATCTGTGAGCTCTTTCTATAGATATGGCACCACAAAAAATTCCTTGAAATCTTGCTATGCTATATCAAAATTATCGATGTATACGAATACTTACGTTATGATCGCCTATTAATCTCTTCTTAATCGAGATCTATAGCCACTTATTCAAGATATGTAAATCTTAAGAGAGCAGCTTCTCATAGCGTCGATTCTTTTGAAAATATCCATTAAAATACCGTTACTCAATTTGCAATCATAAGACATATGTAGTATTAAATAATTTCATAGCTAACTATAATCTTATTTTTGTAATTTAGTAAATTGTAAATGTCATTAGATGTATCTTTATTCTTAAAAAATTTAGAAACGCAATTGATATACAACAAAATTGGCAGGTTTTGCTTTTATCTTGAAAAGAATTGATAGGTAAAAGAAAAACAAGTAGTCATCTGTTCACAAACAAGACTAGCCTGTTACGTCTTAATCAAAGACTTTTATCAGATCCTGTCGGACGATTCTATCGTTCAACAAGACTGACATTATTCAAAACGTCGATTAGGCAATATATCAATCGCGCACGATCGTAAGTGCTCGTATGCTAATGATCATCTTTCGAAAGATCTCAAATCGGAGAATAGAAAATTCGTGGATCTATAACAGCTAGAATTTTGACGCGTTGTCAGATGCGATATCTCATTGGGAGCATATATAATGTGCTCACCGGATGAGAGAAAGCACGAGTATCTCTCCATGAGCTAGAACTAACGTTGTGAATAATTCCCTGAGAGGCTACTACTTTCGCTCTTTCCGCCACTCAATCGTGATTCCAATTTTCGCTCTTGTCCCGCCGCTTTTACCCAACGATTTCCATACAGCTCGTGTCTAAATATGAAAGTGAATGATCGATTTGTACAACCAAATTGAGACCGAGTGCGCCACATTCTTCCTCGTTTCTGGATTCATGGTGGAGAAACCGCAAATAATACAGTTTCCGCATTAGTAATTTGAATATAATCAAATCACAGGTTTTTTATCTTATATATTATTGATATAATATATAAATAGGTAATATAATTAAAGAAAAATAAGAACAAGAAAGCGCTTATTCCCTATTAATTAAAAAATTCAAGAACTTTATATATATATATTTTATTTAATATATATATTACCTAGTAGTCTTGCTTTATAAAATAGAAGAAGAGTGAAATTAATCAATGTCATGCCTTGGATAATAAAAGAAAAATAATTATATATTTAATTGTACCAGAAAACTTTCTACCATGATAAGCTACATAATAAATGTTTTACATTGCAAAATTCACAACAATCATGCTGTTTAGAATTTTCACCGTTTAAGAAGATAATCCTTTAACAAGCGATTATCGCATCATTGCACAGATAAACGATAAACAATCGAATACAGTTATGAGGATAATACTGTATAATTAGAAGGTATACTTACGTTAAATAGCTTCAGTCTTGCACGCGAATAGTCAATTGCAGGCAAAAAGTGAGTTATTGCAGCTATTCACAATAACGGCGCATACTTTCGTTTCGCAATAGGTAAAATGTCAATGACAACAAAACACACGGGATTATTATCATAGTTATCGTTATTATTATCAAATACATTAATAGGGTATTAAAAATAGAAGGACGGCCGCGGCCGTTGGATCGTGGTGACGCGCTGACGATCGCGTGCCCCGGAAGAGAGCTCACAATATTTACAGAAATAAAATGAGTATTATTTTCAAGTTGTCGTACACGTCCATGTGCTTGGCGTGCGTGTAAGACGTACTGCGATCCTGCAGGCGTCGCACTATACGCTTTAAAAGATATCGAAAAATGCGTCCACTTTGTAGGAACTCTTTCTCACAACGTCGTTTTCAATTCTTCTAATAATCATAACGACGGAACGAGATGAAAACTCGTAGGGTACTGAAGGAGTTATCAAGATATAACGCACTTCTCGGTGTCTCTCTGAGCCTGATTCGATGATGACGAGGAAGCGGGCGCGCGTTTCCGCGCGCACGCCACTGCGTCGTTCGGCACATAAGAGATCCGGACGCCGCCGTAAGCTCGTCGTGGTGGTAGCGCGTAAGCTGCAGCCTCGTCTGAACTGCTGGATGAGCTGCATGTAGAGCAACAGCTCTCGACGTCGTCATCCTCGCCGTCCATTCTGGACCTAGACGTGCCTACCGTTCCTGTAAAGATATATTTTAGTAAATGAGAACAGTTTTTTTTTCTGCTATAAAAATAAATTATGAAAATATAGATATTGCTTTTATGAACTCATTTAACAAAGATGCTGGCAGATACTATAGAGTCTTTAAATGATATTCGTCTTTTTAAAAGATGAAGGATAAATAGGTAGATCGAATTTTAGTAAGGCCATTAAACTTATATACGTTACGGGTTATTTTTATATCACATTTTGTTCAAAATTGGTGTTTGAGATGATCCTGGTTGTAACTGTGGATTTCCTTTTTTCAAATCTTAATCATATATTTTGAACTTGTCCTAATTGTGAAAATTATAGAACTAAATTGATGGCAATCTTTGATTTCGAAATTTTTTCTCCTTATTCTATTCAGTCACACATGTGACTGCTAAGTTGAATGTTAAAGATTTAAATTTTTTAATATTGTTTATTAATAATACTAATTTTTATTTATAAGTCTTATTGAAACTGAAGTTGTTCCGAGTTGACCTGTCGTCTGAGGAATATTCTTTTCAAGTTGGTTTCTACTAAAATCGAATCCGAGACTTTAGATTTCGTTGGGTAAAGTCGCTGTTTTAACGTCAAGATTCTGGAAATTTCAAGCTTTGATGGAACATTTACGTGTGGCCTCTGCTCTCCAAAGAGGCATGGTACACCGGATCAAAAAATCCGTCTTGTCGCATGATATAATCCTTATAAATGGCTTGGAAATCCATACGAGAGTGTCAAAAGAATCATCCATAAATTTTTTTAGAACAAGGATTTTACGCACCCCAAGACGTACTAGCGACCTCCTCGGGCTGCAGACTCCTTGATCGTGATATATTCGTTCTCGATAGTGACGTAGGCGAGGGCGACGACGACAAATTCTCTTCGTTCGTCGGCGAGAGAGGAACGCGCGACGTCGTGCTGTGGTCGTTGACATCTAGATCCCCCTGGAATCGTACGCGTCTCGACGTCGGCGTCGGCGGATCCGTCTGGCTGGCTCCAATCCCGAGATTGGCCGGCGACGTCGCCGGTTCTTGCGCCAGTACGTTGGCGGACGCTGCGCCGGCGGTTGATGTTGATATTGATACTGACGCTCCCGACGATGGTCGTGGAGGTGGTGGCGGCAATTCCGGCATGCTCGACGCGTGGGTAGGTGTGCAATTCTGGATGCATCTCAAAGGCTCCCGATCCCGTGCTTGCATCAGTCTGCAATTGCGATTTATGTGTTAATGCATTTCTTGCATAAAAAGTGGAAAGTGTATGTTGAAAGTCTGTATTGAGTATATTTGCAAATTTCAAGTATTACTGCTTAGATTTATAGAGTAGATAGGAAAGATAGGTTTTTAGATACCTTCTATTTTTAGATTCTGATGATATCTTTACTTAGTTTAGGTGTTTTAAAATTTTTATTAATGTTATCTATATATTTATAGCTCACTTGAAAAAATAGATAATAGTATTCAGATAGTACTGTAACTAATTTAAGCTTTCGTAAAGTAGTAAAGTGACGTACCTCCCCAGCTCACTGCAGTTTTCGTCAGGATGAGAGCCGCGTTCCTGTAACAGTCTTTCAAGATTTCGTTCCAAAAGTACCCTGTCGAGACCGTTGGGTCTGGAACCGCTAGAAGGAAGTCCTTCTGCACCGAACTCGGGGCTCAGAGCGTTCTGGGTACTCTGAGTGGGCGTTGTTGCCAAAGAAGCGGAAATTTGTTGATGTCTTCTGGTCATTCGAGGCGAATTCCTAGGAGATCCAAGGGTATGCCTCGAACCTGGAGGAAGTGGAGGTGGCGGCGGTGGAGGTGGACTCGACGAACCCTCGCTCGTGGCCATCGTCTGCCTTCTACCATTCCTAGAAAATAAAAAATGTAATATTAGATTTCATTATATAATTTGTTAAAGAGAGAATGCACATAAAAGTTATGATATTTAGTATTATTAAAAATATATTTCGACATTGCTATATTTTATAAAGAGATATTTAATTATGATTAACTTATTTCTTGATACTGTATCTTTTTCACATTAATTAATTAAAACATACTTGTAACTGTGCGTTATCGACAGAAAATTGCGTCCGATCGGTAACTCGTCCTCGCAAGGAATTAGGGGGACTGGCGTGAGGGTAGTAGTCAAGATGGAGGTTCGGAAGAAGAAAAAGGTTAATTTATACGTTATTAGCGAACCTCAAGAAGTTTTGTAAAGATCGAATAAAGGCATTTATCAGCAATTCAAACATTTTTAGTTCTTTTCATCTCTCGAAGAGTGAAAGAGAATTATCCCTTCGGGCGCCATCCAAATTCTCTTTCACTCTTCGAGAGATGAAAAGAACTAAAATGTTTACAACTCATGTATCGACGCGAATTGAATAAATTGGAAACTCTTTGTTACTATTATTATTAATTTCTGTCTGATTGTTTTTGCCTCTATCTCGTTCTCCGACATTGTTTCCCGCTTACCGCGAACCACTCCCCTCTGCCAATTCCGTTGCAGGCTGAGCTAACTGATCTCGTCCGTCGCTAATTTCGTTGCTCTATAATTTTGCTCTCTCGTGCCTAGCGCCCAACGAAATCTATATTGCTGTTAATTACCGCAGCACCTAACATTACGGAAGAACCGCACTTTTGCTAATTAAATTATCTATGTTATTTTTTTTGAGCTATCGCATAAATAGAGCATCGGATGATGTGACGAAGTTGTGTCGTCTCTCACAAGTACGATCACAATACATATGAGTAATTCTTTCGAAAGCTGACATGACATTTTGCCCTAGTGACTAGTTTTTGGTATTGTTTACACTGTTTTATTGTGGCAAGCCGTTTTACTTTTTAATAGCATAAAAGAAATTTAGTCTAAAATTAAATTCTTAAAAAATAATTATCTTAAAAAAATTATGATTTTTAATAACGATTTAAAATTATGTCATAACATGATAATTTATCCATGAATTAGAATTATGTCAAGGCATAATAAAAATTCCAATTTTTTATTATACCGCGCCGTGACATAATAATAATTCCATGAATTGAAATTATGTTGCGACATAAAAAAATTCAGAATTATTTTCATTATGTCTTGGAATAATTTTATGTCATGAAATAATTATTATGTCGTGACTTGATTTTAAAAAAGTAACGGAAAAGTACGAAAAGTTATTTTTCGAGTAACGGTAACTGTAACGAGTTACTTTTAAAAAGCGATAACTGTAATGGTAACTCGTTACATTTTTTACTCGGTAACGAGTAACTGTAACTAGTTACTTTTAAAAAGTAACTTTCCATTCTCTGCAATTATGTTACAGAGTGTGCTACTAATTACTTCTCATTTTAAATTTAAATTATGTCTACATTTACAACATGCTAAAAATTTTCGACAATTAGATGCATAATGAAATTTAAATGCGACACTCAGAGCCCTCCTTGTGCACGCCTCCGAAACGAGGTCGTTATGTATGATATATAAGCCGAATTTAAATTCAACCACGTAAGGCGCCGCTCTATAGGTGTCGCATTAACATGTCTTCAAGCATATGATCCAAGTGGCTTTGATTTCGTTAGCGATAATGTATACTAAACCTGAATATCGTTTATAAAAACATGTATATCACTCAAATCATAAGCCGTATAAAAAAACCTAAATAATTTCCTGTCATCTGTATAATAAGATTAAAATATTTAAACGCGCAAACTGAAGATGATTAATAAACGATTCAACCATTATTTCTTATTTATTACGATTTCAGTCCTGATGATCCGGGCAGGACGTAAGACAGTCAACTTAACTAATGTGTGTGTACCGACAAACTTTAATCTCAGTTTCAACAATTCTCCCATTTCCATCCGTTTTCAAAGCGAAACAAGTTATATGGTGAAACCGGCTACATTAGTGTAATTTATTGCCGCCGTAATAATTTCTTGGCGTGCAGCTCCGTTACTTGTGAACTCGGGAGCGGCGTACAGCTCGTAGACATGTGCGTAATCGCGGGACGTTACCGGCGGCCATAATTTTTGCGGATCCGCGCGCGAACCCCCGCAGTCAGTGGCAGGACAATGAAAGCAACCCCCGTGACCCTCGCCTCAAGGCAAGGAGGTATGCGAGAGACCGCGCGGAGCATAGAGTATGTACCTGAGGAAGGACAACGGAGGCGGCGGCGGCCCGGCGGAGGAGTCACTCGGTGTCGTCGGCGGTTCCCCCTTACTGCACGCTATGCTGCAGTAAATGGCACCACGTCGCGGCAAGAACGGCCGACCTAGGAGGGAAGTGCGGCAAGTGGCGCAGCAAAAGCAAGCCTCGGTCGCGTGCCAGTGCTGACCCTCGTGTGACATTTGGCCTTGGTCGACGCCGATCGGCTCGCCGCAACTGTCACAGTACTCCGCGAAGGAAGCGTCGAAACACCTGAGACAGTACGGCCGGCCCTCCCGCATCACATACCGTTGACCACCGAGCTGCGAACAGAAGAAGATGCACTCCGCGTGAATTTACGTCTGCAAAGGTGGAACCAAACCAAACATAAATGAACGTAAATGAGTAAACCTGTTTCAATAAACGTGGTGAACAACTCTGCAGTACAAACAATCTTGAATCTAAATCGATGAATGTATTTTATCATTTGTGATGCGTTTAATTCAGGACACTATTAATATTGAGTGAACATTATACTTACTTTGACTAGCTTTGACCGTTATAGGCTTTGCTTTGTGTTTCCTTCTTTCTTGTTATTGTTTAACAATTACGGTCATATAAATTAAAAATTAAGATTCTATTATTTGTTATTATACTTACTATCAATATATAAATTTTATATAGGTACAAGAAAATAGCTTGCTTCTGTTAAAATTTTTATACATTTCACTTTTTTAAGTCGGTTCTTATAGTCAGCTCTTATTTGTCATAAGCCAATCACAGAGAAGTACTATTTTAAGTAATGTCTTAAGATGTTAATACTGCTCTGTGATTAACTTATAATATTTTAAAAGTAACTTACATTTAAAGACTATATTTAGATAAGATAATCCTAAATATAAGAAATAAACACACCAGTTTTAATGATAAAATATTTATACCAAATACCACGTAATAGCGAACGTCTTGATAGCACAGAAAATCTTTTCCATACGCGTTCGACGCATGTGAGTAGCGTGAGTGAGAGTAACGATAGAGAAGGTAGTCCAATAGGGCCCTGAATTTCATGTTTAAAAAATGAAGTGGGGGGAGCCCCATTTTCTTCTGTTCAGAGCTCCGAATCTCTCACGAGCTATTACATATGTATAATATGCCAGTACATAATCAAAACCTTTCTAAACACAAATAACCTCACCATTAACTTGAAAGGAAAGGAAGAATAAGCACTTGATCAATCTTGAAATGATATGGAGAATTTAGTTCAAAATGTTTCCTCATAACACTTAAATTATATAATACAAAACTGTTTAAAAATCAAAATTTATTACGCTCTCTGTTATCACACTGACTATCTGCAGAGGATTCAAATCGATATGTATAATAATTAAACTAAATTAAATTAAATTTCTAAAAACTTATCTCCGTTTATCCTAGTTTTAGCGTGATTAGACCTTTTGATGATCTAAATGCATAATTAAGCATTAAGTTATGCACTAAATGTTTTTAATAAACTCATTCACTTGTAATACGTAAAACATACCTATCGATAATGTTCCAGAATTAAAAAAAAAACGTTCGCCACATTTAATCGTAAACATTCGTCCGTAATCAGTTCGTCTTTGTTTTTCTGAAATTAACTTAAGAAACGGTGAATCGCTCGTTTAGACACATAGGAAGTCATATTTTACTGATGTAATTTAATTTTAATCTCTGTTCAAGTTAGTCTCCATTTTTTTTTTAATTTTAGAATTAGAAAAACGTGAAGAGTTAGTTGAACTGAAGTTAAAATTAATTTATATACATTGATAGAAACAGGTATAAACCACATTCGCGAGTGACGCACGCGATTAGAGCACGAAGAATAAAACACATTAATTTTTTTTATAAATCAATATGTCGGATCGTTTATATGATGTGACCAAAAATATTAAACGCTTTATTAACCATTATTTAATAACATTGTTTTAGTTCAAAAAAATTGATTTATAACTGTTAATTATCCTTTGTTTGAAGAACCATTTAAGTTTATGTACAACGTCAGTAATTATGCAGGAAACAGAAAAAAATACAGGTAAAAGAATTTCAGATTAACGAAAGAAATATAGATAACTAATAATTCTGATCAAGACCGTATATCATTTTTTATTTCGTAGATATTGGAAAAGACTTGAGTTTAAATTCGTATAAGACATCAGATTTTAAAAGTAAAAGGAGCTCGGATTAGAGGAAGAGGATATCGTGCAATACATCATATCGAAAAACGGTAGCGCATTCCTCAACCACGGGAGAACAAAGTCGTCTTATCGCAACGCGGAGAAATAAGCATAGCTTCGGTGATAATGGCGCTACGCCAGTGACCGGTTATTCACTGGAGCATGTACTCTACATATACGGCGGCGATCTGATAAAGCGTTAGCTTCTTAGAGTTCTCGCTTCTCGCATACGTTCGCGATATAGATACCACGTTATCCCGCACTCTCAACCGGAGAGAATAACTCTTATATCATCACTTAGTAAATTGCGTCGAGTAAATTTAAATAAGAATATCCTCCGCCCTCTCTCTTACTTAGAATTTTTCCCAGGTCTTCTCCGCGCGTGATAAATGCATTCACAAGTTCACACCCGAAGCGCCAAACGCAACCGGTGCGAGTAAGGCGGAAAGCAAGTGCTGCTTCTGTGCCTCTCGACGCTATCTAAGTCGGAAGACGTATCTGGGGATAGAGTCAGCTGGCGGGATTATGAATTGCTACGCAGCTGTAAATTCGATAGCGACGTAATCGTTAACTTGGCGGCGCGCGTTTCCGATGTACGATCGCGCGGGTATACCGTTAGGTCGGAACGATTCGCTGCAGCATGGAGAATCGTTTTATGAAAAAAATCCGATATTCTACATTTATATGTTTATAAAGTCGATCCCATCATGTAGCAACTAGTCTCCATACGGGGAGAGTAGTTACGCGCACCGTTATGTTATATGCTCTGCATTTATAACTGTGACATGTGCGAATATCTTCATTAGTTGCTCGCGCGCGTTTGGAGCGAATAAATATATAAATATATTTATCTATTAAATAGATAAAAAAATTTTATCGTTTTTCGAAGACTGTAAAGTTTAATATGTATGTAAAAGACCCAAGGCGAAGTTCTTGTTTTAAGTTTAACCGTAGAATGTGTGGTATATATATGCTACCGCTATTGAATGATACAGTATTGCTATAATTTATATGTAAATTTTACGTACAAGGAAATAAGGCTACTCTCAATTAATTAATGTAATGCAACTTTTTCATACATTTCACATTTTTAATGACAAAATACTTATAATATGTAAACTTTTATAAACACCCCAATAAACTAGTTATTAACTTAAAACAAAAGAGAAAGAATAAACGCATTATCAAGTCCAATCTTGATACGGAATGTAGTCTCTTAAATAAAATACACATAACGACTTAAAATAATAATATAAAACTACTTGAAAATTGAAATTATTTATCATGCTTTTTGTTATAAACACTGACCATCAGGAGATCTCAATTGAAATATAACGGACAGAATCTTTAAAAGCTTGTCTCCACTTATCTTAGCTTTTAGCATGGCAGATGGAATTTCCCCCCTTCTAATGAAGGCATAGCTTAACGCTCAATGACTTCGCTCACACACACACATACACACTTGTACGTAAAATTTATCGAGAGATAACACTTCTTTATTTTTAAATATCACTGAAAACAATCAGAATAAGAATCGAAAAACGTTATTTTATTATAGAATGTCCTAAATCGGACCGTGTTCCAAATCGGATCTTTTTAATTTAAATAAATACGGTTAAGCAGATTTGCGTGCTATTTATAATGTAAAGTCCTTATAAGACACTGAACATGTGACAACAGTTTGGTTACTGTTGACTCCGTCATTACGTTTACAGAATAGACGCAAATATGTATTTTTGGCATGCAAAAAACTTTTAAAAAAGAAAATTCTTGTAAATCATTATTTAAAAGATATTAAAAATTTGAACGGTAATTGATTTAAAATAATTAATAAGTGTAAAATTCTCAAAAATATCAAGAGTTTTGTGATTATTTTTACGGTTTATTGTAAAATTTGTTTCAATCGTTTGAAAGAACCCCATAACCAAATCGGATCTATATGTATAGTTATTTATCACCTGGTTGTAGTACTGGTGATCGACCGATCAGATCTGGTCTAAGAAATACTAAATCAATAAAATATCATGTGTCATCAGACTCAGATTGATGAAATTTTTTATTGATCTTAATTCTAATAATATAAACTGTATTTTTATCTTTGAGTCTTAAATTGCTCGTTTTTCCTCAATATTAACAAAAATTAATTAAAATATTTTAAAATTCTATTTAAAAGTCCATAAAAATAGGAAAGGTCCGATTTAGAACTCATAGTTTCAAATCGAACCGGAAAATGCATTTTTACATTTTCCATTATAGTTCGACACAAATAAGAGATACGTCAAAATGGTCTGAAGCAAAAATGAAGGAAATTAAATGATCTTTCAAACGGTACCATTGGTTTTATGATCGGACTATATTTCCGCCTTATAGAGAACAAAAACTGCAAATAGGTCCGATTTAAACCATTCTCCCCTATACATATATTTGTAATTTTCATATTACTACATGATATTATATTTTACTCGTAAAAAAAAGGATTTAGGTATGGCTCCAATAGCCCATTTTTATTCTTACGATTCTTATTTATATAATCTTATTATTTCTTCTTTATCAAGAACAATATTTCTCCAAATTTAAATTCCAACGTGAAGGAGACTTAATGTAATTGCGAAATGAGAATAATCATCATTTTTGACGTCACATGAAGGGTTGTCTAGAAGAATATTCCATCCACATTTTTTAAATTTTAGAGGAAATTAAAAAATATGCAACGCATTTTCCGTTAAAACATCAACTTTTCATAAAAATGATGATTGCAAATACTGGCACAATGTTTTTTCAGAAAATTTTTATATATAATCATATTTATTCTGTATTCTTACCTGCCGGTCGCATTCGAGACAGGCAAAGTGGCGCATATGCCACGCTCTACCCTCGGCTTCGGTGCACTCATCAGCGAGGATGATCTCATCGCAAGCGCAGCAACGAGGTTTGAGGGTCTCGGCGTGGTGACGGCCACAGTAGAGTCTGCCGTCTCGCCAGAAGTAGATGAGGTCCACTAACAGCTGACGGCACACGCAGCACACGAAACAGGCGGGGTGCCAGAGAGCGGCCGGGCCCGCGCGGCTTGCCGCCACGGCCATCTCGCCGGCAGCGATCGCGCGGCCGCACTCGCGACATCCTGCGCTGTGCGGCCGCTCAAGCTGGCTTGCATGCCCGCGGCCGAGAGCCTCGCGTTTTCGCTGAGCCGCAAATACCCGCAGTTCGCGCTTCTCCTCCTCGGTCAGGCCGCTGCAGTAACGCGCCTCATTGTCGTGCGGCGGTAGCTGTTGCAGCAATTGCTTCACCCGCTCCCGCTCGCCGGCGCTACCCGCGTACGGGATCTTGTCCTCCGGCAAAGCACTGAAGTACAGATGCACCTGCGAAAACAGACCACGCGTGTGGATTCAGATTGGAGTCTCGAGCGAAGAGGCGGAGGATAAAAACGGATTGTGTGCTCGTAATATCGAGCCTCGTATACCGTAAACGTTAACGTTGGGGCGGGTCACATGCAAACGATAATGCAAGCCTATCGCGAAAATTGCATGAGGCGACGACCTATAGTTACTTTACATCCAGCGTGGGACTTTGCCGTATTTGAAGCATGCTATCTTCTCTTAACGGCTCACGATGTCGACGCACGTGTTCGCAAAGTGGTTGGACTTTCTTTCAAAGATAAAAAAACAATTTTCAGATTAATCCAGAATATATTAATTTGTCGGGTATAAAAAAAATCGTAATTGTATTAAGAAAATTTTCTGATGATTGAAAATAAACAAACCAGAAGATTCTGATTATATGAATCAGAATTCTGATTATTTCAACTAAAATTATAACCGATTCAATTAGAAAATTTTGATTTATCCATTTTCAACCATTTTTCTCGTGCGATAACAGAGTTGTTTCACAAATTCCTCTCATTCTAAAATTCCATAATTTTTTCCTAAGCTTCTGTTACTTTGTAATATAATTTAGTCAAATATTAAAACTATTTTATTCAATTTTTTTATATTGTATGGTTGAAGAAACATGCAAATTTTCAGAGTGCTCATAATTCTTTATTTAACAATAAAATTACATTCGTTTTAATAAAGATTCGACCAACTTTATGAATGTGTAAGTAATAATATAAAAATTATGCGACTTAATTAAATTGAGCGTAAATATAAGAATACTAGAATATTAGATTTTTGAATAATTGTCGCAGATTTAATTTGGTACCACCACATTTAAAAGGTCTTATTAAAGTTAATGATTTGTCATTGTATAATATATAGAGGTTTTTACACAAGACTAAGAAAAATACAACTTAAAAATGTAAAAGCTATTTTGCAGCTGGAATTAAATGATTTATATAGGTATTTTTACATTTCACCAGAATTAATATTTTTAATAATTCTTTCAAAATTTATAATATCTTATTAATTTCTGTAGCTTGTGAATTATTTAAAATAGTTCCAGTTTCTTTTTACATACTAATAAAATAAACAAAAAAAATTATTGGCTGTAAAAGAAAGACTTAACTATAAAAAAATCATACAATTAAACCGATTTCTTACTTTTATACTTGTGATAAAGAATCGGGGACTAGTGTTATTTCAAATGAAGTTCCTAATTTGGAACTTTGTTGATCTTTTGAAAGAATACATATTTCGGCTGATAAATTTGGTGATACAATTCTTTTAAATTCAATAAATTATAAATGGTTTATTAATTTGAGTAACATTGACGTACCTGTTGAAGTTCAATATTTGTTGCAGTTAGGTGAAAGGTTTGGCTTTCCCATTAATAATCATAATTTGGAACATACATTTATAGAGTTTGTAAAAAGGGTAAACCTTCGGAAAAGGCACATCCTCGCAAAAAAAAATTATATTAGTGTATTTAGGCGTATTTTTGCCTCCTGATTCCGAATATGATAATAAAAATTGGCGGTCGGACACATTGAAGCCGCTATCTTGAAAAAACATGATTTTTTCCAGTTTTTTGCATTTATTTCAAAAAATATACATCAGACGAGAAAATGTTTCAAACAAAAAATAAAGAACATAAAATTCTCTACAAAAAAGGTACTATGCATTTTCTTCGTAATGTCAATGGTAAGCCCGTAAATGAAGGGCGAACATGAGTATAATCATGATTGTACTGTCGGGGCAGACCTCTGACGACGGTGTGGGTGCGAGGGGGTGGCCGGAGGCCGAAGGCCGCCCTCTTGCACCCGCCCGTGTGTGTGTGTGTGTGTGTGTGTGTTGGTATGTTAAGCATCCAAGATTGGATCATCAACACTCTCCATGTTTAATAACAGAACCGTTGTTTGAAAGTCGCTTATTAACTAAACGCGAAATGAATAAATCGGCTATGAGTATAGTTCGTAACGATAGTCATTTTGTCGCTTTATTATTGCTTCTAATAGAAGAAAGACCAATATACGGTTTGAGATAGCTCGATCACTTATTCGGGCGAAATAGTACATTATGTATCAAGGACGCAAAATGTATCATTCTCGGCGAATGCGAGCATTGTTTATTTTTGTTTAACATTGGGACCGAGCGTAGCGAGGTCGCACGAGCGTACTTCGGCCTTCGGCCTCCGG